TGCCATGAGCTGAGATCGCGCCATTGCACTCCAGCCTGGGTAACAAGAGGGAAACTCCATCTCAAAAAAAAAAAAAAAAAAAGAAAGAAAAAGAAATGGAGCAAGCCTATGACTGTATAATTTTCAGTAGAGGTGATTGTGCTAGAAAGTTTGAGGTTCATATCAGTACTACAGTTGATCCACTGTTAGAAGTAAATATTTTCCTTAGGATAACATAATTTCTTGCTGAAAAAGAACTTAGGAATCATTTAATTCTACTTGTTCATTTAACAGGTAAGAAGCCATGTGTATACCTTAGTGCTACACAGCTAGCTATATGGAGCCTGTGCTAGAATCCAGCACTGAGGACTAGAAGTGTAATTTCCATTCTGTCCTGCTGAGCTAAATGCCACATGCACAAACCTATCTCTCAACTTCAAGAAGTGCCTTAAAGTCTGATATTCTGTTAATAGGTGACTAAATCCATGCTTACTCTATCTTTAGTCTTCCCAACTATTAATTGAAAAGTAATAGTTTCAATTCTTCTTCTTTCTGTCTTTATGTTTACAAAATAATAATCTTTTAATATAGACTTCCAAGGATAGTTGATATTTACTGATGACAATGGAAATGGCATTCCCCATCAAGTAAGAAGTTGTGTTAAACTGACCTCTCAATTTCCTTCCATCTCAAGATCTAGTTTTATAACATGGCAACGGCTTTCTCCTTTGCTTATTCAGTTATCCTTCCCTTTCATAATCTTATATCTTTCTTGAGGGACAATATCAAGACCTATCTGGCATGGTACAAAAACAACCCACTACCATATACATCAACTCTACCGTATACATCACGTGCACACACACACAAACACACACATTTGAGATTACTTGTAGTATTGTGTTGGTATTTTGGATATCACAGTACATTGTTGTTAGTTCACTATAGCACCTTCAATTAAGTCTGGTAGGTTCTATTAGAATTTGATGCCATTTTAGTAAAGCTGAGCCTAAAATAACTCTACTGATGAAGATCTCATGCTTATCTCTGGGAGCATCTTCTACACATGACTGGAGCGCTAATGAAATTCTGAGCAATTGCCAGATCCACAGTCACTGGGAAATGCCAAACCAGTTACTGTATCTAGGAGGTATATAAAAGATGGCTGCTCTGTCTCTGCATGCTGAGAAGAGAGGAAATGTGTCTGGCTAGCAAAATTCAAAGAAGATGCCTATCATCAAAAAATCAAAAGCTTTCCTCCAACACCATCTGGCATAAGAAAAGTCTGAGTTAATAGTAAAATAGCATCTTTTGCATTTTAGCTTTCATTCTAATGTTTCCTATGTTTCCCCCCTTTTAGATGAGACCAAAATAATAATATTAGCTGCATTCATCCATGCATTCATCTAAATCCTCACTCTCTGTAAAGTATGCCATATGTGAAAGAAAAGTTTAAAAATACATAAGGCTTCTATTTTCATCAGCTTCCATAAATAAGCACTATAAATTATGGCAAACCACCTAGTAATATTATTGAGCATCTGTTCATGGCATTGAAATGTCTAAAGGGGCTAAGGTTGTTTAGCCAAGAAAGGAGGAAACCAGAAGTAGCATTCGTGACAGTCCATTATTCAAAGTGCAGTAAACAACTATTTATCATCCCCTCTTAGAAAGAAATAAGAGAAAAGAAGCTTGCAAGTACAAGAACTACTTGAATATGAAATGTCCAATAAAACAGTGAGAGAGCTCTTTTTACTTCTCTATATTTACACCTATAACTATAACCATATTTATGCTTACATACGTATACCCATATAGAATTATAAAATCAGATGCACCAAAAGCAAGATTTCGGTAGGATAATCAGCTGACTGAGGATGATGTTACATATATATAAGTTATCTAGTAACCCATTTTTCTCAATCAGTTATTTATGAAGTAACTGGCATCTTATAAGGCCAGTACTTTAAAGGATTACAAAAAGTCCAAAGTGTAATACCTGAACTGAAAGAGTTTTATAGTCTGGTTGGAAGACAAACTGAGTGGATAAAGCAGTAGGCAATACAGTGTTCTTCGCAGTTATGTCATCTATCGATTGTATAGTGTAGGTGGCGATATTGTAGGTGTTCCAAAGATGACAGGCTTAGATTTATTTGCACGTCTTAAAAGAGTCTGAAGGCAGAAAAATATAATTGATCTTTAAAGGACCATATTTTTATATGTGAGAAGGGGGAGAAGAAACAACAGAAAAGGGGAAACTGAGAAAAGGTGGTAAAGTAGAAATTAATAAGATATTTTTATAGAGTCAGTAAAATGTAGATTCAACCAGATGAGAAGGAAAACATTAAGGGAGAGTGGGGAATAAGTTCTAGCAGGTAGAGTGGGAGAATCCACCATAGTGCTCTATTCACTTTATGGCTGGGACAATGCCCATCCATGATGCTACCTCTCACTTCTAGTCATTTATACTCCTAACTGAACAATCTATTCTACCTAATTCATTCCTTACCTTGAATCTCTCAGAACAACAAATACCTAACCAGATGCTCCGCATAGGAGGGCACTGGAATCCAAAGCAATGTAATTGTTGTATAAGATTGTGCTTTGTATTCTCAAGGTAAAGACAGAGGTCTGCTTTTCAATCCCTTCTTGCCATTACCTGCTAATCTCTCCCTTCCATTTCTTCCCTTTGTCGTTGCTGCTCCTTCATTCATTATTAATTCAGCAGATATATTAGCTTCTATTTTGTCTCTTGCTCTGGGCTAGACACTGAGAGTACAGAGCTGTGTAAGATACTCTTTTTACCTTCAAGATGCTTTCAGCCTAGCAAGTCAAACATGCAACTCCGGTAGACTCGGATGCCTGTTATGTGTTGCGGCTTCTCACCCAGCTCCTGAGGAAGGTCATGTAAATGAAATGCTAAAGGGAACACGGAAGTAGAAGTGGTTAGAGACAGGAGTCTGCTCCGGTCAGGCAGCACAATGGTCAAACCAAAAGTGAGAAAACACAGTGCACATGGAGAACCACAAGAACTGCACTGTGGGCTATAACATAGTAGAGGACAGATAAGCGAACAGGAGGTTCCTGCAATCAGAACTCCATTATCACAAGTCTTTTTTTTTTTTTTTTTTGAGAAGGAGTTTCGCTCTTGTTTACCCAGGCTGGAGTGCAATGGTGCGATCTCGGCTCACCGCAACCTCCGCCTCCTGGGTTCAGGCAATTCTCCAGCCTCAGCCTCCTGAGTAGCTGGGATTACAGGCACGCGCCACCATGCCCAGCTAATTTTTTGTATTTTTAGTAGAGACGGGGTTTCACCATGTTGACCAGGATGTTATGGATCTCTTGACCTCGTGATCCACCCGCCTCGGCCTCCCAAAGTGCTGGGATTACAGGCGTGAGCCACCGCGCCCAGCCCCACAAGTCTTTGATAATTGTGTTAAGTCATTGTCTCACAGGGCACGTATAATAGAGTACTTCTTTTGTGTCAGGAATTATGCTAGAGGCTAGACATAGAGCTCCACACAAGACACAGAGCTTCCTCAGAGAAGCTTTCTAGCTAGCTGTCACGCAGAAAATGACAGTTATTGATGGTTCTGAGGGATGTAAGGGGCACATGACTCATCCCAAATTCATTCTTTAACTTTCTCTCTGCCTCTGATCTCCATTACTCCTATTCCAGACTCATTTTTTAATTTAGTTTACTTCTGAAGTTTATGGGAGGTCTGTTAAGTTCTAATATTCTGTTCTACTCTTTATTTTATTCCTAATCTTTGTACCGTTTAAACAACCAGAATGAACATATTTCCATTAATGTTCAGAAATATCTTCTTCAAATAAATTACATAGATGCATGTATTGAGGTCCATTTTATTTTTAAATTTGCTGAGAAATCTATAAGGGCTTTTTAAGCCTAATTTTCAATAATTTTAATAAGATGGAAAGGAAAAAATTAGAAATAAATGTTAAGAAAGATAGTGTAACTATTGTTTGTTATCCTTCAGTCTATTTGCCTCCATCCAGGGCCCAAAATAAAATGTAAAAAGACAAAAATAAATGTAAAGTTAAGAAAATAACCTGAATAATAGAAAAATTTACAAGAACACAAAGGATTTATCTCAACAATTTAAATCAGCATTTCTTCAAGGAGGCAGGAATTTGTCAATAAGCAAGGCTTTGCTAACAGCCAGTTCCTGGAGAAGGATGACAAGCTGCTGAAACGAACAAAACAGTAATGCGACTGAGGAAGGGCAAATCCAATGCTGAAGCAAACAGTGGTAAAAATGAATGAGATAGTGAAAAATGAATAATAGAAACGCTGAGAAAGCAATGTTTTGGGATCGAATGCAACGAGGAAATTAAATTCAGAGAGAGATAAGAAATGAGAAAGAGAACAAGTACAAGTTGTCTTTTTTTTTTCTCCTGCTCCTCTACCCAAGAGAAATAATTGTCAGCTACAGGTCATAAAACTTTATAGACTAATGCCCTCTGACCTCTGACCCTGTGATTTATTTCCTCTGAACAGAGGTGCAGTCCTCCCTCCTCCTGAGAAAAACAAGGCACCATGGCTGGGTAGATTCTCCCATCCATCAGGCAATGAAATGTGTCTCCAGGTCTCAATTTGCCATCAGCAGTCTTGCTCCAGGCCAAGTCAGGACTGGTTTGTAGACCAATACAAAGATTCAACAGACACATTCTCCTTTAAAAACAAAACCCACCATATATATCTATAAATCCTTTCTACTGCACCACAGAAAGTAGGCAGTTTGCAATATAATTATCGGTCTTAAATTGCTGAGAGTCAGCAGAACCAGTTTATATTGGGCAGAGCTTATCTGTTCCATTTGCATAAGAAAAATAAATAAATAAAATCCTAAATGTAAAGGAAGAGTTCTTTCATTTGCATTGAACTGTTCTACTTGGCAAAGAGAAGCATCCATTTGTAAATCGGCACATTTCCACACACAGGCCATCAAAGAGGTATTTCCAGGAGAGCAAGTGATAATTAAACAGAGTATACATACCCTCTTTGATGCCACTTGAAGTTTCAGGGAGACTGACTGGAGTCTGGGAGGGAACCAGGGTAAATTGTTCTTTTGTGAAGCCAAGAGTGCTGGTAGCCAGAGTTGGCTCTGGCTTTCAGGGGCAGAGGAGACTGAGTCATCTCCCTTCATCGAGCTGATTTGTTGAAAGGGCACAAGAAGTTCCCAGGGATTTCATGCTGCTTTGAGGCAACCTGCATTTCAAATGGATGGGAAAGGAGTGGGGGGGAAGCGAATTTTGTTGCTAGGTCTCCCAATGACTTGCCAAAATTTTGCCTCTTTCTTTGTGAACCTAGTAACCATCCCAGCTGAGCTCCCTATTACTCTAAATAGGAAATGGATGAATATGCCCAGTCTTTTTCAGCTTGCAAATGTGCCCTGGTGAGGGTAAACATGGCTGTGTTTGTTCACCCTGGGGAACAAGTCAGGCATGAAGTCCCTTTTGTTCAGGCTAAGAATGATCTCTCTTCATTCTCAAGTTCCAGTGGCACTGGTGATTTAATCTGGAAATGTGAACATGAATCCTACCTGAGAAGGACAGAGCTTTCTAAAGCTGCCCAGGTGTTGGCAAGGTCTGTCTGAATACCTTGAAAAACACAAGGATGCTGCTGATTCCTGGGAGAGACCCACTTTGGTAATTGTACAGCTCCATAAAGGGAGTCTTCTCAAATATGCAGGACAGCAAGCAGCTGGTCCAGTAATGCCTCTAGTCTGAATTAGCTTAAAAAAGAATTATGAGCTGGAAGAATGAGATATATCTGAGATGCCCTAGGAATAAAAAAGTATAGCCATAATTAGTATTTTACTGTATGTTTCCTGAGAAATAGATGCAGAGAGAAGAGAAGAGCAATGGGTATTTCTCTACTCTTTTCTTCATGATGAAAGCCAGTGCATGAGCCCGTGCACATTGTTGTATGTGTGCAATGCATGTGTGCATCCGTGTACTCGGAGAGTTACAACTGGTGCTGTGGTGAGTTGATAAAAGCAATAGGTAAGCTATCACTCCTAACTGCAGTGGATTTTCAGGAAGAGAAACAGAGGATTAGAGTTGTATGACTATAGTAAGGGGCAAGTACAAATTTGGTACTAGTGAGTTCCATGTAAGAGAAACAAAGCGCTCTGCAGGTTTAACCCTGGAGGAGATCATATTTCATCAAGCGAGATGAGGAAGAGCTTTACGGTAGACGTGGACTCTATGATCAACCTAGATGTGTGAGGAGGATTTCAACAGATGAAGAAAGGGGATGGGAAGAGGGCGTTCCACTAATCAGGAAGAGGAAGAACAGACACGCCCATGTGGGAAAGTGCAGAACATGCTGGTAGAACAATGTTGTTTAACGGAAGCATCCCATTCTTATAGAAGAATAGGGAAAGATAAGAATAAACAGTCATCTTGGGGCCACATTAGGAAAAGCCTTAAATGTTAGGCTGAGTATTCGGTTTTTAACTAAATAGTAAAGAATCTTTGAAGATTTTTAACAAAGAAGTGATATAACTGGAAATGCACTTTTCAGAAATTAATCTAATGGATTTATTAGGAGAGGAAGCTGAAACCCATGAGACTAAGTCTTCTGATCATCTAATCAAAATGTAACAAATCTCTTACATTAGGATTGCAGAAGTGGAAATAGTAAAAGAAGGAAAAGTTTGGAGAAACTCTGAAAGTAGAATCTACAGACTTGACTAGTCTTGGATGTGCCTGACAAGGGGGAGAAAATAGAGATGATGCCTGGATTTCAGGCACAGGAGATTGGAATAATAATGTTGTCATGGAGAGAGAAGAAAGTCTGGAATCTTGGAGAATGTAGAGTTTATTTTGGAATGCACTGAAATGAAGGTACTAGCTAGAAACAATTAGAAATGCTCAGCAGGCAGCTAGATTACAAGAAATAGGCCAGGGCTAAGACACAGAATTGGGAGTCATTTACTTAGCAAATTGTTAGCAAGTTATTTATCTAGAAAATCCACTATGTGCCAGGAATTGTATGATGTACTGGGATTACAAAGATGAACAAGACGCATGGCTTCTGATATCTAAGAGAGCTTACAGTCTGCTGAGTGATACAGACAGGTGAACCTAAACTGGTAGCTGTTTGGGGTAAGAGAGAGAAACACAGGGTTTTATGGCATCTGGAAGAGTTTCAGAACATGTTACTTACACTGTGAGGTCAGGGAAAGATCCCAGAGACAAGTGACCTCTAAGTGGCAGGAGATTGAGGCAGTGAATTGTGGAGAGCATCTCCTTGTGGTGTGAAAGCTCAGCTTAGAGTGACAGCAAGGTGCAAATGGGCAGAAAATACAAGATGAAAAATAGTTAAGAGAGAAGGTTGGAAAGATAAAGCCAATTATTCAGACGCTGAGGGTTATGCTAAGGAAGGTGGACTCTATCCAGAGAATCATAGGAAGTAGCTGATGGGTATTATCATAGTTTAGTTTTATAAAAATTGATCTGCAACAATGAGGAAATAGAAGGAGGAAAAACACAGGGCAGTGAAATTCAGGAGACCTGGTCTTGTATAGGATCCATTTGGGCTGAGAAATATAAATTGACTCAAAAGATAGAAGTACAAGACTTCATTATTTCTTTTGTGGAGTAGGGGTAGTAGAAGAGAAGTGTCAAGAGAAACATCTAGTTTCTTCTTGGCCACAAGGTGGTGGGTGTTACCATTCACTAAGTAACAAATACAAAAGTAGCTAGGGATGGTGCTTGTGTGTGTGTGTGGGTGTGTGTTTAATTTGACTTGTAGGAAGAGACCTGGTCTTATGATGCTAAATTTGAGATTATATTTAAACGGAGATGTCCAGTGGGCAGCTGAGTATGTGTTTGATGGGTATAAGAGAGGTCAAGTCTGGGGCTATACCTTTTGAAGTCATTATCACATAAATGAAAAGTGGAACCTCAGAAGAGTATGTGCTTACCAGACATGCTCCCAGGCAAAAAAAGGAAAGTACCATAATATATCCCTGAAGAATATCAATATTTAAGGGATAGGATTAGAAGGAAGAGACAACAACAAAGGCTGGGACACTTTTACCAGAGAGGCAGGAGGAAAAGCAGAAGAGAGTCTGCGTTCCAGGATACAAGGAAGGATATATCAATTAGCACATTGGGTTAACTGTACTAAACACTGCCAAGAGGTCAGCGGAGAAGCCTATATTGAATATAATGGAAAGAAATCATTAGTGTCTTACGCAAGAGCAGTTTGTGTGGGCAGGGAGGAGAGCAGTCAAGATGCAGCCGATTGCCACGTTGAAGATTCTGAGAGGTCAGGGAGCTTCAATGGGACTGGCCTATTAGCTATGCGGGAAAGTTGAGTGGTGAGAATGTAGACCAGACAACAAGCACTGAGGACTGAGTAAGTTGGTGGGGTGAGAAAGAGGCGGAGGAAAGGTGTGGGGACCACTTGCTCTAGAAATTCCAGGGGTAAACAAGGACAAAAACTCTACATAGAAGGTCCATTGGAATGTTTGCAGGCAAAGAAGGAAGAGTCAGTAGAGGTGGAAAAATTGAAAATACAAGAGAAACAGAGAGGAAGAAGCATTAGGCAGGCAGTCGGTGGGAACTCAGGTTTTAATGCGACCCCTCTCCTTGCCCCTCATTCCACTGCCTCTCACACACACACAATGAATTCAGGAAGTGAGGGCCTTAATGTAGCGATGCTGTGGGTATTTGTTTTTCTAGTCCCCTAAATAGTTAAAATTTAGGAGGAAGAACAAGCAGCACAGTCTGAGGAATAGACAGGAAGTATCAGAGAGTTGAGCCTAAAATTTACTAGCATAATACACCTGGTGGAAAAGCATTAGAAAACACTTTTTTTGAGAATGTAAATATCCTTTTGAAGCGTTAAGGTCCTTGGACTCTGAATCATGTACTTCTTTATATAAATGGTATCAGCTCTGAAGAAAGGGATATTCTTGGTCATGATTATGGGAATGGGAGACATGGGAGAGTGAAGAGGGATTTAAGAAAATTTGGGAAGGGTAAGAAGAAAGCAAAGTTCAGTTCAGCTGTGTCTCTCAACCAGGTAAACACCCTTCTCTCCTCTTCCCGAAGCTCCTCCTTCCTTCCAGTAATCATCTTTCTTTCCATTTTCATTGTCATTAACTGGCTAGCATCCAGGTTATTAAAAACAAAACTGTTCACAAAATGTTTTAAATGGCCTAGTAGCAGAGGCAGCTCAGTAGCCAGGACCATCAGCAGGATCTGGTTTCTGACATTTGGTTAAGCTCCCTAAAGGTAGCTAGCACAATAGACATACTTTATGCCCATCATGGCAAAACAACCAGAAAGATGTCTGGCCTCATTTTAGGCTCACAACAGAGTAACTGTAGAACTTCAATACGGATATTATGGTGGAAAAAGAGGTTAAATATTTTTACTGTCTTTTCTTGGGGTGGCGGGGGGAAGTGGGGAAGAGGTACTGGCCAGGTGCTTTGGGTCACACCTGTAGTCTCAGCACTTTGGAAGGCTGAGGCAGGCAGATCACTTGAGTCCAGGAGTTGGAGCCAGCCTGAGCAACATGGTGAAACTCTGCTTCTAAAAAACACAACAAATTAGCTTGGCATGGTGGTGCACACCTGCAGTCCCAGTTGCTCAGGAGGATGAAGTGGGAGCATCTCTTGAGCCTGGGAGGTCAAGGCTGCAGTAAGCCGAGATCGCACCACTTGCACTCCAGCCTGGGCGATGGAGTGAGACCCTGTCTCAAACAATAGGGAAGATCATGAAGCATTTTTCCTTTAAATGTAAATAAATAGCTAATTAATCCCAATAGTTTCTTTTTCTCTCATGATTAGCTCCAGGGACAGGAAACAAGGTGTCTTCGTTTTTGGAACTTTACACTTTTTGAATGCTCAGTAAATACTAAGAATGGAATCCAATATGTGAAAATAAAAAGCTAGAATAAATCTGCCTCCTTTCTTGAATATGGATGCTTTAAGCACTCAGCAGGGAAGAAGCATTTATTCTAACATAGAGACAGAGCGTTGCTTGTTAGAAATGGTGGAGGGAAATCCAATTAAAAGTGGGATTAGTGAAGCCCCTGCTTTGGCATGAGCAACACAGCAGAGTTGATACATCAGCCCTGATGCAAAAGGCATGGAGGCCTGATATTGGTAATCATAAGCCAGTTTCTAGTCTATTGGCTTTCTCATCAGAGGAGGTAGTTTAATATCCTGAATTCAGCAATAAATATTAGGGAATAAACTTAAGTAATAAGGCCCGAACTTCTTTCGCCGTTAATGCTTACAGTAAAATGTCTAAAACTTGCCTAAGTAATGAACTGAAA